CTAAACAAGCTTCCAAAGAACATGGCATCTATGAAAGAGAAAAATAAAAGAACGAAAGGGCAGTTGAAGTACTGTGGAAGAAATCACTATGAAATTGTATAAAAAATAATATGAAATGATATGAAAAAATAGCAAATAAAGTTTCAAAACATATAAGAGAACTGAAATGCATAAATACGTCACAATATATATTTATATATTGTATATGAGGCCCCTAGAACCATAAAAAATGCAAAAAATTCACTGTTAATAACTCATTCTCGATTGCCCCCCTTAAAAATCAAATTGTTCCCCTGTGGGGCGTGTGCCTCACATTGGGAACCACTGAAGTAGACACTTTCCCTCTTATGTTTCCTGTGGAGACATCAGAGATTCACTGCAATGTAGCTCATTATTACAAGGATTCAGGGACTTCACAGGTCAGGATGCCACCTGTGAGATCTAAGAGCCCAATTTAAACACAGTTAACAGTGTTGTTCCTCAACTCCAGGATAGTAGAAAATATTCATTCCGGCCAGGAAGCACTCTGCCATAATAAAACCACCCCATATGTCTCTGAGAAACTTGTCGTAATTATTCACATAACTATGTGTCTAATATATGTCATATATAAATTATTATTACTAGAGTAGACTTTATTCTTGCAGTATTAACAACTGATTGTGTAAATGTGTCTTGATATGTCTTCTAGCCCTGGACTGAAAGCTCCATAGTCAGGTGGGAGGGAAGAAGGAACTCACTCAGCCCCTTTTGCACAGTGCTCCATAAATAACTGTCGTATAAATGAACAACTGCACAGCTACAGCACTTTCCTCTGAAGGAGTGGAGGTTATCTTTGAAACCCTATACTACTTTATAGCTCCTAAATGCTTCTTAGCTTTTAAAGTTCTTTCGCATACTCTCATTTGATCTTCACACAATCTTATGATTGTGCCATGATTAAACTGGGGTTCAGAGAAGACTTGCTTAAAGTCACAAAACAGCTTATAGGTGATGGAATGTAGGTCTTCTGACTCCCCAAGTCGAGTGTTCTTTATGCTATAACATTCTCCCTTCCATTTTCCATGTTCAGAAATATTTGAAGCAGTTTCTAAAAACATCAGGTTTAATTTCTATATCACTATTGTTTAATCATTGTGCAATGTCATAACCAAAGATTTAGTAACAAGCAAGTATACGGATAACGGATAACGTAACTACGGGAAAAAAATCACTAAATACTGTAGACTCAAAATGGAAACACTTTAAAATATTTTGTTCCATTAGTTCTAAAAGAAACAAATGCAGAAAGAAAACATGATAGAGCTAGCTTTTCCCAAGTACTTGCTCTTGATCCAATGCCAGGTCCTTCCCAGCATCACAGCCTACTTCTCTACAAACCCAAAAGGTCTAGGCTCCAGGCTCCATCATCCTTAGGTCCTCTCACAACCTGAAAACAACTGCTCTTCTCTTGGAGACATGTTCACCTAATATTGCAAACTAGGATGGAAGGAGCTTTTTTTCTATGTATGTTTCTCACAAGAAAATGAAGGAATAATTTTAAAAAGAAGCCCAGCCAGTGTGGCTCAATGGTTGAGTGTCGACCCAAGAACCAGGAGGTCACAGTTCAATTCCCAGTGAGGGTACATCAATGATTCTCTCTCATCATTGATGTATCTATCTCTCTCTCCCTCTCCCTTCCTCTCTCTGAAATCAATAAAAACATTTTTTTAAAAGGAAAAACAAGAAATGATCATTTTTTTTACAGAGTAGAACATATTTTTATGTATTTGAATAGCTTTTTCTACTGCCAATTCATTTCACAACCACTTTTAAGTATCCACTATGTCTAAAATTCATTATAAACATGAGTGCTTCCTCTCTTGGCATATCTGGTGTCAAATGTTATTTTAGACACTGAAAATACAAAATGAGTAAGACAGCCTGCCCATAAGGCAGCTACAAAACAAACATAAATTACTATACATACGGCAATGTAAATTCCATACCAATGCACACAGGAAGTGCTATGACAGAAAGAAAAGCTAACAGGAAAGTTGAAAAGCCTTTATGAAGAGCTCAGCCTCAAAAGATGAACAGGATTCAGTATGGCAAAACAAACAAAATGTGCAAAAACACAGAGACATGGCACAGCACTGGTGTGAAGGGAAGTCAGGTTTCGTCATAACAAGAAGTTCACAAATGGGAAACAGAGCTGAAAAAGAAATTTGGAGGCACAGATTATAAATGTCCTTAAATACATATAACACTAAGGAAATTGAATGTTAACAGATAGGCAATTCAGAGAATCATCTAGCTCTTAAGCAGGGTCAATGCACAATCAAATTTGCATGTTTAGAACAGTAACTCTGGAGGCAGGGTAGTCATGAAGATTGTCTAGAAAACAAGGCAGAACCTGAAGCAAGAGTTGGTAAAGTCTTGAGAGCAGCAGCAGAAATAGGAAGCAGGAGGCCCTGGTTAGTCAAGGACACATACCTGGGTTTCGGGCAGCAACCAATTGATGTTTCTCTCTCCCCCTCCCTCCCTTCTACTCTCTCTAAAAATCAATGGGAAAAATATCCTCGGGTGATGATTAACTAGAAGGAAAGAAGGGAGGGAGGGAGGGAGGGAGAGAGGGAGGGAAAGTGAAGATCAACAAGTCTTTTCTAACAAGACTGGATGAAAAAGATAAAAAAAAAAAGAACAAAGAGCCGAAACAGGTTTGGCTCAGTGGATAGAGCCTCGGCCTGTGGACTGCAAGGTCCCAGGTTCGATTCCGGTCAAGGGCATGTACCTGGGTTGCGGGCACATCCCCAGTAGGGGATGTGCAGGAGGCAGCTGATCGATGTTTCTCTCTCATGGATGTTTCTAACTCTCTATCTCTCTCCCTTCCTCTCTGTAAAAAATCAATAAAATGTATTAAAAAAACAAAACAAAAAACAAAGAAAACTGAAATTTCCAGTACAAGTATCATTAACTGCATTAAGGAGTCAAGGAGAAATAATGCTTTTCTTTTCATCACTTTTTCCTGGAGTGAGGGGGAGGATGAAAGGTTTCAGTTTTGAAAATAGTTTTGTTTTGTTTTAAAGTTATCTGTGGAATGCCAGGTAAAGCTCCAGGAGGCACTTTGAAATATGAGACTGGTCCTCAAAAGACATGTGACTGACAGTTGAGATAAGATTTGAGGTGCTTTAGTGAGATGCTTTTAGAAGTAGATGACTCCATAGCCAGAAGGGCAACGACAGAACCAAATTCAATCTTCAAATAAAATCAGCCCAGGAAGGATAGAGGAATCTAATAACCAGAGAAAAGATAATGGCAACAAATAGGAAATTAGAGCTCTAAGTCCAATACCAACGTTTGGTGTTCACACACTCACAAATGACAAAACATGTCAAATGATCACGACATCAATGACCACTGGTGAATGCTACATAACCATGAAATACAATGCAGGAGAAAGGAAAGCAGACAGCGAGGAGCAAATCATAATGCCAACATGACCACATGCAAAATGAGACAGTAAAAGCCAGACCACAAACTCCAAAAGATGCACCAAAAAAAATGGGCAACCTAACTGGAAAATCAGCAAGATCCCAGTTAGCTTCCTGTACACCAAGCTTTTAACCCAGAAAATCACAGGAGCTGTGGACAGATTCACATACGTTATCATCTAGTTATCTAAAGGCGGAATACAGATCAGAATAAGTTTATAAAAAGGACAAAAGAGACAGAGTTGCATTTGACACCAGTTAAGTCACCAATCGTCTGGATTTAAAAGAGTTTGTCCCATTGTGCAACGAATGAGTTCCAATTTTGTTTTTTTTAAAAATCAGGGAAACTGGAAGCATAAGGCAAGAGAAGGTAAGGTGACTTGTAATAAAGATGGGAGGGAGCATTAGTAGCAAAAAGTGCAAAACTTCCATCTGTGTTGACTCCAACAGCAGCATGTTGTTGCTTGGCATGTTCTAAAACTTCATGCATTGCAAACCACTTTCATGCCTTCCTGTCTTTTGAAGTGGCAAGACACAATGGAACAAAAACTTTGGCAAAGTTGATATTGGACCTAGTTCTGTCTCCAATGACTGTCCATAATTGCTCAGGAAATTAACCAAATTCAGTGTGTTCACTGGTAAAATTGGTTTGTTTTCATAGGCCCATACCAGAGGTCTTTTTTTTTCTTCATTTTATCTCCCTTAATTTATTTTAGCACAGGGCTAGGCACTAGCAGACACACACCAGGTGCTACCATCCTTCCTTCCATGGGACTTCATTATCTATAGGAAGTGGCAAAATCACTAACTTTAGGCCTCAGTTTCTCCACCTCTAATGAATGATGCCTTTCAGGGTTGTTTGCGGATTCCATAATTAAAGTGCTTTGTATAAAGCGCAATATATATGTAAAGCATAATTGTTTCTAGGTCTGGCAAACAGTAGCAACTCCCATTTTATATCTAGAGGAACTGAGAACCAAGAGGTTTAAATGACTAGGACCTAGTAAGATCGGGGAAAGAACTCAACACCTACTCAAATCCCTTCCATCACCCCATGTACCTTGCTCAGATATCAAGGTATCTTCTACAAGCTCAAGGTCTTCCCACATCACCTAAGTTTTTCTTAATATTCAAATAAGGGGGAAGGAAGCTACAAATGAAAGAGGCAAAAGGACACGATAAAATGACTCGCCCAAGGTCAAAAAACCAGAGTAGAAAAGGAATGCTTGCTGGCCGGCAGCCGAGGCCACGTCCCCCATGACTCCCACAACACGGAGAAACGACGAGCTCCCCACTTCCCGGGCTCACGGACACTGTGTAGGGGCGCCCTCCGCTTCCAGCGTGCCAGCCCGCCGCGCCCCTGCAGCTCACCCACCGTGGACAGCCCGGGCCCCAGGTCCCCACGCTCCCCGCAAACCCCCACCCCCACCCCGAGATCCCGGACCCTCGCTCAGGACCCCGAAAGGCTAAGTGTTCACAGCGAGGGGCCCCGCCTGAGCTCCCAGCCACGTCCGCGGCCTCACGCACTATGGCGCTCCGGACGGGGGCTCCAGCCACCCGCCGTTGCCTCCGGGCCCGGGCCGCCTGGCCTCCCAGTCCCGACGTCCACAAGGTAGCTCTGGCCGGAGCAGGCCTTGGACTTCCTCTGACAGCTCCGCGCCGCCGCAACCCAGGTAGAGCCCGCCTCCGGGGCTGACGGACTTCCCCCACGGCCAATCGGAACACGCGCTCGGAAGGGGCGCGGCCACGGCTGGAGGCCCCGCCCCTCCCGCACTTCCGCTAGGGTGAAAAGACCAGTGGAAACTTTCCCAGAGTTCCTCCGAGCTCTCGGGGCGGGAGGGACTGCAGCGGCGGGGCGGAGGCTGGCCGCGGTCGGGTGCTCGAGTGGTGAGGGGTCGCGACGAGTGAGGCCCCACCCCGGCTCCTTTACCGGTGTCTCATGGGCGCTGAGCTGCCACTGGGGCCCGTCACCAGTGCAGGCACCGCGCTGACCCCTCCCCCGGCAGCGGTTCGGAGCCGGGCGCCCCGGCGTGGAGTGAGCACAGACTCCAGCGGGTTCGACGGCAACTACTAATGTTTTGCCCAAAATGAAACCAGTGCGGCCGGCAGCCGCACGTCTTCAAACACGGCTATGCCCGCACCCAGAGCGCGCGTTCGGAAGGCGAGTTGTTTGCAGGGACACTAACCACCCGGCGTAGGGAAGCGCGGCTCTGCCCCTGGCGCGCGGTCCGGAGAGGGTAGCGCAGCGCAGGGCAGGGCTGGGGACTCGGGCCCCTCGCCTGTCCCCGGTGGCCATGGCGGCGTCCCGGGACACCAGGCGGCTCTACAGGCTGGTGCAAGAAGGTCGACTGTGCGCCCTGCGGGAGGAACTGCAGGGAGCGGGGGCCGCCAGCTGCCCCGGGCCGGCGGGGGACACCTTGCTGCACTGCGCCGCCCGCCACGGGCATCGGGACGTCCTGGCCTATCTGGCCGAGGCCTGGGACATGGACATCGAGGCTGCCAACCGAGACTACAAGCGGCCCCTACACGAAGCTGCCTCCATGGGTCACCGGGACTGTGTGCGGTACCTGCTGGGCCGAGGAGCCGTGGTCGACTGCCTGAAGAAGGCTGACTGGTAGGTGGCAGGAGTTCCAGAAAGACACCCCTTAACCTCTTTTCCCCAGAATCATATATTCCCATGTACTTTTTCTGACTCTGCACTGTAGAGTCTACAGCATAGCTTCTCAACCTTACCCATTAGAGCACATTGTTCCAACCCTTGGGAGTCAACTGTTTGGTCCAGACACTTGCTTCCCTTTATAAAGCAGAGAACAGTACGGAATATGATCAAACAGAATAATATCAATGAATTCCCCATATAACATGAGCCCCAGGATACGAAGTTCTTCTGGGGCCATCTGATTACTTCACCAATGGCATTGATTTAACTTTTTAAATTTTGAAATAGCTCTAGGTTCACAGAAGGTTACAAAGAAATGTTCAGTTCAGGGAAGTCCCATGTGCCGAGGCTCCCCCAGCGTTAACAGGTTACACAACAGTAACAGAACTAAGAAATTGACATTGCTACAGCTACAGTCAATAAACTTATTCATATTTCATCAGATTGTACCTACACTTAAAATGTATGTGATGCTCTCTGTATGTGATTTTAGCTTTGCATAACCACCTCCACAGTCAACATACTCACCTTTACCATCACACAAACCAATTGCATTTTGTTAGACCAACATTGTTTTCAGTACTCACTTAGAGGTTATGAATGTAACAAATTCATAATATAGTGAAGTTCTTGCCTACAAGTAATTCCTGATATGATATATAAACACAGAAGACAGCCGTGTATAGTCAAGTACATTTTGCCCACCGGGAGGGGAGTAGGCCTGGTTGTGTTTTGAGGGTTGCACTTTGGCTGTGACTAAGCACAAGACTGCTTTTCTTGTGCTGCTGGAAAGTTGACCTAAAGACAGTTCCAAGAGGCATAGACCTCATACTCCTCAAAGCAATACTTCAGATAAGGAAACAGCCAAAAACAAAACACTAAAAAGATGAGGTTCATTTGATTCTGTATTTGGGAAGTGTATAATCACAGTGAGACATTTTTGCCCATTCTCTCTCTCTCGCTCCCCTCTTTTTTTTTTTCCTCTCCGAAATACCTGCTTTTCCAATGATCCTGCCTTGCTCAAGATTCATTCCCTTCATGAGGTTCTTGAAAATTCCAGCCTTCATTTATCTGTTTGTTTTCCTGTTAATTTCTCACTCACTGTTGTTACTACAATAGAGGCCCAGTACATGAAAATTCGTGCACTGGGGGGGGGGGGGGGGGGCCCTCGGCCCTCGGCCCTCGGCCCTCGTCCCTCGTCCCTCGTCCCTCAGCCAGCCTGCCCCATCTCACAGTCCAGGAGCCCTCAGGGGATGTCCTACTGACGGCCTAGGCCCGCTCTCCATAGGGAGCCACAGTCTGGCCTCCCTCTGTGGGAGGCAACCAGGCTGATCAGGGGAAGGCGCCGCCCCCATCACCCCGCTGCTGCTGCCACTGCCAGCCATGACAGCTGCGAGGCCTGAGCCCTGGTCCTTGCAGCCACCAGGGCTCATGGTTGCCCTGATGTAGGGAGTGGCTCTAGAGTTAAGCCTCAGATTGACCTGTGGCAGAGCCACAAACAAGTCCCAGCTCAGAGGGCAGAGCCTCTTAGCATAATTAAGCGTAGCCTTATAGTGCTCCCTAGATCCTTCCTAGATAGCTAATGGGCTGTGGGAGGTGCAGCAAGTGCTGCCAAAACAAGTGAAACTCACAAGAACATTGTAACTATGGTGACTACTACCTTGTTTTTCTCTGACTATAAAAGCCTCGGCTTGCTGGCTGGATCCTTCTCTGTGGTCTCATCCAGGCATGGGAGATCCACCAAGCCCCAGCTATATTCTCTTGTCTTTTCTTTAATCCTTCGCCACCCCCCTCAGGCTCACGGAACCCTTGGTTGTGCTGGCACGGCACACCTTGAGCCCCTGGCCTCGCAGCTGCCTAAGCTGGCAGCTGCCATGAACCCCGGGCCTCGCAGCCACTGTGGCTTTGTCCAGATGGACATCCAGAAGCCATCCTTCTAATTAGCATATTACCCTTTTATTAGTATAGATTACCCCTTCCCCCCCCCAAAAAAAAAGTAGTGTTGGTAATTAACTAATATAGATAAATCTTAGATGAGATTTAGAGATCACCCAATTATAGTGAGCTCCCACAATGTGCCAGACACTGGTTCTAACCCTGGCAATGAGGAGGTACACAAGACCTGCTGCTGCTTTTCAGAAATCATAGCTCCTTCGTTTTGCAGACAACAACAACAACAAAAAAGCTCATGGAAGTGAAATGGCTTACCCCAAATCATTCATGTGGCAGGAGAGGAAGACCAGAGCCACCTCTCTTGATATAGATATAATGTAGTTCACTCTCCTATAGTTGTGGACACAAGTCAGTACAGAGACTTATTATAATCACACTGTTTCATTTGCTTCACCAATGTATGTTTGTTATAGCTAGGTACAGTGTCAAATGCTCTCTTTAAACTCTTTCAGCATAATATAATTAACTAGAGGCCCAGTGCACAAATTCGTATGTGGGTAGGGTCCAGCCGGCCCACCCCAATCGGGGCGATCGGCCTGGGGAGGGGGGGGGGTCCCTTTAGTTGAACTCCCAGTTGAGGGAACAATTTGCATGTTACCTTTTTATTATATAAGATAGGATAAGTGGTTTCTGACTAAAGTAAGTTGGGTAAGTTCAGCAGAATACCTTTTATGCAATAATCTTCAGGACAAACTATGATTTGAACTAATTCTGTCCCAATTCAGTGCCATACTAGAAACTGTCACAGAAGCAGCTTTGCCTCCTTGGTATCCCCCTTTTGTAGGCATGCCTACATCACAATCATTTTCCTCTTATTTCACCCAGAGTCCTCAGGGCAGGCAAAGTAGTTGAAAGTTTTCCTGCTTCCCAAATCCCTGAGTCCTCTAGGTTTTCCATCTTTACCAAGGATGTGTGTTTTTTAAAGACCTGGTTGTACCCTTATAATGTCTCAGCTACCCTTCCATCTGACAGCTTGTCCTCTTTGGCCTTAGGACTCCTCTGATGATGGCTTGCACAAGGAAGAATCTCGAGGTGATCCAGGACCTTGTAGAACATGGTGCAGATCCGCTTCTGAAGAACAAAGATGGCTGGAACAGTTTCCATATTGCCAGCCGAGAAGGGGACCCTCCAATCCTCCAGTACTTGCTCACCGTTTGCCCAGATGCCTGGAAGACAGAGAGCAAAATTAGCAGAACTCCTCTGCACACGGCAGGTATGGCCCGGAGCTCTGCCTCCCCCAGCACTGCAGAATGGCCAAGTTGGAGGGATTTGGAAAATAGAGGTTGGTGAAGAAGAGCAGCTTTTGGATATTTTGGCATATACTTAGTTTCTAAAGCTAATGTCACTTGGTACTTAACATGCACTTCTTTCTTGTATTAGTTCACTTTTCATAAATATCAGTCTTAGTCTTCCCAGCTAGTTAGATGGTATGCTGGTTTTTTCCTCACTAAGTGTTTGACCTTGGGCAAGGAGCTTAGTCTCTTGAGCTAGTTTCAACAGCAAGATAATGATAACAATGATGCCCATATCGCACGGTTATTACAGGGTTTAAGGAGCCGAATGTAGGTAAACCCCTTAGCACAGTGTGTGACACATGAGCACAGAACGGGCTGTTGCTATTTTTATGATAATTTTCACATTTTTTTTTATTATTAAGGACAAGAGGAAAAGAGACAGGGTTTTTGATTGTTATTTGTTTTTAATATATATATTTATTGATTTCTGAGAAGGGAGAGGGAGAGAGAGATAGAAACATCAGTGATGAGAGAGAATCATTGATCAACTGCCTCCTGCATGCCTCCTACTGGGGATTGAGCCCTCAACCTGGGCATGTGCCATGACCAAGAATCAAACTGTGACCTCCTGGTTTGTAGTTTGATGCTCAACCACTAAGCCACACCAGCTGGGCAAGATACAGTTTTTAAATGTCCTCAGCAATATCTACCACAGCACTATCTATTTAAATAAACATGGGTACTTATCATTAAATACCTGAGTGTATTTGACTTATGTAGTGATAATGTCAAATATAAATTTAGGGTATTTTTATTGTTTTGAGTAATTAGTCTTAATTCTGAATTATAATTTATAGATTATTTTAAATTTGTAAAAAGCAAAGCTGCTGTGGTGTAAGATGAAATGGATATTAATGAGCTTGAGTCCAGATCAAGAAATCTAGACAATAATCTTTAGCCTTCTAGAGAATTCATTGAATTAGAATACAGGGTTTTTAATTTCTCTAAAAATCAATACCTGTGACATGACATAGTTTAGGAAATATGCATACAATTGTTCTAGCCACAGTGGGCACGTAAGGACCAAGGAGTCCTTTTGCAAGAGTGAAGAAAATGTTTCTCTGCTCACAAATTGTTTGACTAGGTCCCCTACTCTTCTGGAGAAATAGTACCCAGTTATTTACACAAAGTAGTGGTGCACAGATAGTCAAAAAGCTTTATTATTGACCATAGTTATTTTTAGTAGTAGAATTAAATTCCTGGTTATTTTGTCATGGATTACTCTTAAAATGTTTTTACATTTCCTGGGCAAAAACTGCCTGGCTCAACTCAAAAGGGAGGAGATGGGTAAGTTTAGGATTGGAAATTTGCCATAAAAGTGTTTATAAAGAAAAGATAATCAGTTTTGGCTATGGACCTATTCAGTAAAAACATCATTCTTTACCAATTATACAGCTAGATTTTTATTAATGTACCTACTTTAATTGCCCCTTCCTGTAAGTCATAGCTAAAAAGATGGGACAGAGACCAGTGCCAGGAGGAAAAAAGCATTTTATATGTGCACCTAAAAACTCTAATTCTCAACTCTCTTCTCCCAGCAATGCATGGCTGTTTAGAGGCAGTAAAGGTGCTTCTTCAGAGGTAAGAACAAAACAGATTGAGGAAGATATTTGCTAATTATGACAGTTAATGTCGATGCTACTTAAGAGCTCAAGCAAATTGTTCAAGAGCAGCTAAAGTACCAAAAGAGAAGAGAACAAAGGACATAGCAGATAATTTAAAGAACATAAAACAAAAATAGCTAACAAATTTGAGAGAAAGTCACTTATTTGTTCATTCAACAAGCATTCATCTATTTATTCAGTGCCTATTTGAATTGTACCAGATGCAGGGGTTACAATAGAAATGAGACAATGTGTTTTCCCTCTTATGGAACTCACAGACACTACACTAGTTGTATGAATCTGGTGGCCATTACGAGGAATTGCAGGATCCCTGCAGAAGCATATGACAAGAAGACCCAACTTGGCCTAGGAGTGAGGAATTTCAGCCCCAGTGTCATTTAAACTATGACCTGAAGGAAGCTGAGAGTGGGAGGTAGGGGGGCATTCCAGTCAGAGGAAGCAGTACTCGGGGATGCTCATCCTGGGAAAACCATAGTGCATGTAAGAAACTGAAAGAAGCCAGGGGAAGGTCAATGGGGAAAAAAGGAGAGACATATGTACTACTATTTGTAATACTTTAAACAATAAAATAAAATTTTAAAAAGAAAGAAAGAAACCTAAAGAAGCTCAGTATGTGCTGAAGCATATAGTGAGGGGGAGAATGGTGCGGGGTGAGGCAGGAAAGGAAGGGCAGGTTTCAATCAGGTGGGACATTATAGGCTATGGGAAGGATTTTAGGTTTTATTTTAAGCATATAACATGCCATTGAAGGGATTTAAGCAGGGTGAGTAGAATAAGAAATTTGCATTTTTCAAAGATCCTCTCGTTGCAAAATAGCGAATGGAGTGGAGGAGGAGCAAAATTGGGTGCTTTGAAAGCTGTTGGGAGGCTATTGTAGTTAAACAGGAAAGAGATTGTAGCTGGACTAAGAAGCTAACTGTAAGGATGAAGGAAAAAGATTTGGAGATACTTCAGTAGAATCAGTAGAACTAGGCCAGTGGTTCTCAACCTTGGCTGCACATTAGAATCACCTGGGAATCTTTTTAAAATCCTGATTTCTGGGCCTCATCCTCTGGAAATTCTGTTTCTTTGTTATGGGGGGGGGCCACAACATTAGTAACAAAAAAATTTTTCCCAGGGGGATTCTTCCAGAATTCAGGATTTTAAAAAGATTCCCAGGTGATTCTAATGTGCAGCCAAGGTTGAGAACCACTGATCTAGGGCCTATTAGGCGAATGATTCAATAAAAGAACTGGGAGAGAAGGAAAAGTCAAGGATGACTTTCAGGTTTCTCACTTAAGCAGCTGGTGCTGGTGCCATTTACTGAGGTAAAGAGCAGTGGAGGGGGAGCAGGTTTTGTGTGAAAAGATGACAGGTTCACTTTTGGACATGTTGAGTGCATGTGCCTGTGAGACATCCAAGCAAAGATGTCAAGGGAGCAGTTAGAGACACAGATATGAAGCCCAAAAAACAGGTATGGGCTGAGATACAACTGTGGGCTTCATCAACACAGAGATGATGATTAAATTTTTAAGAGTGGAAGAGATTACCTAAGTAGACCGTGCATAGTAAGAATAGAGGAGGGCTTAATGCAGTGCCCTGAAAGCATCGCTTATGTGTAGGGCTTGCCTACTGCAAATTGGAACATACTTGATTGTCAGCAAATTTATAGATATTCATTCATTGGACAAACATTTTTGGAAGCACCTCCTATCTGTTAGGTGCTGGGTGGTAAGCAAAACAAATGCAGTCCTTTTCCTAACAACCTATAGGCTGGTGTGGAAGACAAGTATAGGCAATCAAGTAAATACCATAAAATTATAAATTGTAATACAGGTATCTCTGTTTTCTGAAAGTTTGTATTATCCCACTTCGCCTATATATAAGACCTACATTAGTACATTTTTTCACTAATCAAAAGAATCTGAAGAGGATTTTCACTTTTACAAGAAAAGCTGTTACTGTAGCAATGCAGGTCTTTCATAAAAGTGAAATGGCACATGTAATGCAAACTTTCAGAAAGGTGAAGATACTCATTGCTTTATGCCATTTTGGCTTACAAAAAGTTTTGTAGGAATGCTCTACTTTCAGCTAGTGGGAGAAACCTGTAATGCTAAGAGGAAAAGTACACAATGGCATGTGGAAGCAAAGGTGCTGTTGATGCAGGAGAGAAGACAGGCCTGTGTGAAGTCACAGAGCTGTGATTTGAAGAATGCATTGGAGTTTGCCAAGTGAATAATGGAGAAATAATTTCTAAGCAGAGGGCGTCAGCAAGTGCAAAGGCAGCAAAGAGCTGGGCAAATGAAAGACCAGGAAAAAGGCAGGATCATGAAGAAGGTAGGAAAAGAAGATGATCAGATTGGTGGGAGGTACGACTGAGAAGACAGGACAGGAAGTTGAGGGTAGAAATGGAAAAAGGGGAGGTGTGATGGAGAAGAAGATAGGACAGAAGAAGGTAGGACCAAGGAGACAGTAGGGCAGGTAAGATAGGATAGTGAAGAAGGTAGGACTGAGAAGATAGGACAGGTTGGACCATGAAGAAGATGGAACATAAGAAGATAGGATAGGTGGGAGGTGAAACTAAGAAGATGATAGGGCAGGTAGGACTAGGAAAAAAGCAGGACCTAGAAGAAAGAACAACCATAAAGAAGGTAGGTTACAGTAAGCACAGAGCGGTGGGTATGTGGGCAAGAGAAAGCTGGAGAGGCAAGTTTGTGGGACAGTATCTTGACCACTAGAGGTTATGCTGAAGTTCCAAATTTTGTGCTTTGTTTTTGGGACATACTAGTTAAAGGTTTATAACAGGAGCAGCCATACCCAAATTGCATGGTGAAAAGATTATTCTGGTAGCTGTGAGAATGAATTAGCAAAGCAGAAGCCAAGGTGAGAAAAACAGGAAGCTATTGTCTATTGATTTGGTCCTAAGGGGTAAAAGCAGCGAAAGAGAAAGATACAATTAAAATATTTTGAATGCAGAATTGAGAGGTAATAGATTGGGTTTGAGAGCTAAGGGGTGACATCAGGGCTCCTGGCATGAGAAGTTGGAGAAATTGTAGTCCATAATATGGAATGACAGAAGTTTAGAGGAGGAACAGATTCGCTGGGGGAAACTGACATACTGTTGAAGAGCTAAGTTCTAATATTGAGATGAGGAAAAGAGGGAGAGTGCTGCAGATTTTCACAGATCATTTGTAGGGTATGTCATCTACAGCAAGTGGTCAAGAGTCAACTGTCCATTGGGTTTGAAGCAGTGACTCTTCTCAGCTCTGTTATTTTGGGTTTGGGCTCTAGGTGTCAATATCAACCAGACTGCAGAGACAAATGTGGCCTCACACCCTTTATGGATGCAATTCAATGTGGGCACATCAACATAGCCAGGCTGCTCCTCGAAAAACATAAGGTACAGCAATGATTTGGTATTTTCTATGAGTTTTAGTCATAGGATAAAAAGAGATCATGGTTATTCAGATCCTGGGTTCAAATTCCAGCACTGCCATGGGTCCCCCCCGTAACCTCTTTAAGCATCAGTATTTCCATCTGTAAAATGGTGACAAATTTTAATTCTTCAGAGGGTTATTCTAAGGATTAAATATAATTAGCAAAATAAGATGCTTTTTTAATTGATTTTAGCGAAAGAGAGAAACATTGTTCCGCTTATTTTATGTATTCACTAAAGGCCCAGTGCACGAAATTCATGCATGGGTAGGGTCCCTAGCCGCTGCCAGCTACCGGCCGGTGCCTTCCTTCATTCTATGCCGCTCCCTGGTGGTCAGTGCACATCATAGCGATCAATTGAACTCCCAGTTGGTTGAATTCCCCAGGGGACACTTTGCACATTAGGCTTTTATATATATAGATTGGTTGATTCTTGTATGTGCCCTGGGGATCAAACCCAAAACCTAGGCATATCAGGATGATGCTCTAACCAACTGAGCTACCCCTCCATGGCAGCAAAGTAACAGTAGCTGTTTTATAGTAATAACAACAAACCCCACTGAGTGCACTTTTGGTACACTTTAGAGCAGTGGTTCTCAACCTGTGGGTCGCGACCCCTTTAGTGGTCGAACGACCCTTTCGCCTAAGACCATCCTGCATATCAGATATTTACATTATGATTCATAACAGTAGCAACATTACAGTTATGAAGTAGCAACGAAAGTAATTTTATGGTTGGGTCACAACATGAGGAACTGTATTTAAAGGGCCAGAAGGTTGAGAACCACTGCTTTAGAGCATTGAATCTTAACCTTTTTGTTTGTTTGTTTATAGAGTCCTTTAAGAATCTGACAAAAGCTCAACAATAAAGATTAAAATAATAATAATCACCGTAAAAATAAATAAATAATCTGACAAAAGCTATATAACATAGGCCCAGAAAAATGTTTTTAGGCAACAAATTTTAGCTAAAATGTCAGAAGGTCCATGGACCCAGCTTTCTCTGCTTATTTTTGTTCCTGTCTCTCCCGAACCTACTAGGCTTGCATTTGTGCTGAGGATTCCCTGGGAGCCCAGGCTATACACAGGGCAGCAGTCACTGGGCAGAATGAAGCCATCCGATTCTTGGTATCTGAACTTGGCATTGATGCAGACGTGAAAGCAACATCAACCCACCTTACAGCACTTCATTATGCAGCTAAGGTTTGTTTTTTTTCATAAAGTTGTCCCTGCTTCCTTAGGCTTGCCTTACTTTACTGAGAAATAGCTCCACTGTCCTATTGCTTTGGCTCCATCTCTGGAAGAAAAAAATTGCTCATGATATGCTCCTAAAATGTTAAAGGGAAGCCCTGCATCCCTTTAAATAGAAACCTACCTTTATTTGTTGCTAGGCAAAAACTGACAACACCCTTTATTCCATTCAATGCCTGGATTTTATGTTTCATCCTGCCCTTTTTTCGTCTTCAAGAATGATGTTTTTGAAGTCGTAAAAATCCATTATATTAAATTCCTAGCCCTCTCTCCTAATGGTAGATTTCAGAAGTTAAAATTTATTAATTGAGGGAAGGGAATTGCATTTACCAGCCTCTCTAATGTATAAAATATTTTAAGACGTGCAAAAATTTTTCACTACAGCCCGGCTTGTGTTGTTCAGTGGTTGAGCATCGATCCATGAACCAAGAGATCCCTGGTTCAATTCCCGTCTAGGGCACATGGCTGGGTTGCAGGCTCGATCCCCAGTGGGAGGGTGCAGGAGGCAGCCAATCGATGTTTCTCTCTCATCAGTGTTTCCATCTCTCTATCCCTCTCCCTTCTTCTCTCTCTAAAAAATCAGTTTTAAAAGTATTTTTAAAAAAGAAGAATTCTCACTTAATAAAAATCTTATTTTAAAAAGTTTTCCTCCTGTTTTAAATACTAGGAGTATTTGCTTATTATCTTTAACATGATTGGCTACTTGCCTTTACTTTTCTAGCAACAAGACTGTTTTCTGATGACTTACACACTCTTATTTTTTTAGCAATTTTTTAAAAATAAATCTTTATTGTTGACAGTATTACATATATCCCCTATGTTCCCCCATTGAACCCCTCTAGTCCATCCCCTCACCCTGACCTACACACTCTTGCCTGCATTCCCCTATGAGAAAGTGGTTAGATAAATGGCAGTGTGCTAAGAGGGGGGAGAGGGGGGTTAGTGGGTCCACCCATAGGAAAATTGAACCTACAACCTTGACTTTAGTCTCACCACATACTAATGAACTAACTGGCTAGATAGAAAGTGTATAAATTGCCTCATGAATGATAATGCCAGCTACGATGAGAGTCCCATCCAGGAGAGGTGACCATCTTTTCTAATTTATCTCTGCCCTAAAGATTTTAGCAAAGAGTGTGTGTACTTGGGAGAATTTGGAATTGTGTGTTCTGTAGGCCATTACACTGAAGGAAACCCAACTGTATTAGTCGGTAATTTGGCCTCCAAAGTTGACCATCTATTTTCTAATAACTGAATATCACCAAAATCTATCTTTAATGATTTATAGTGGAGTTTGAGAGTGATGTGATGATTTTTCCTTTAGATACGAAAATATAGTTTTAGCAGTTGAGTATTTTAGAAAAATGACCTAATATATAGATTCGTGTTTATGTTTAAAGGTGCTTGTCACAGTGATAATGAGTTTATTTCACTCCTCAGGAAGGACATGTGAGTACAGTTCAGATGCTCATTTCCTTGGGTGCTGACATCAACTCTAAAGATGAAAGAAATCGATCAGGTACAGTTTCTTTGTGCCTTGGAACTTATTATTCAGTGGAATATAAACAATACATGCACTTTTTTATTGTTGTTAATCCTCACCCGAGGATATTTTCTTCGTTGATTTTCAGAGAGAGTGGAAGAAAGGGGGAGAGATAGAGAAATCGATTGGTTGCCTGCCCTGACCCTGGCCGGGATCAAGCCTGCAATCGAGATATATGCCCTTGACCAGAATTGAACCTGAAGCCCTTCAGTCCTCGGGCTGACACTCTATCCACTGAGCCAAACTGACTAGGGCTACATGGACTTTTAAAAACATTGGTTTTGCCAAAACCGGTTTGGCTCAGTGGATAGAGCGTCGGCCTGCAGACTGAAAGGTCCCAGGTTCAATTCCGGTCAAGGGCATGTACCTGGGTTGCAGGCACATTCCCAGTAGGAGGTGTGCAGGAGGCAGCTTATTGATGTTTCTCTCTCATCAATGTTTCTAACTCTCTATCTCTCCCTTCCTCTCTGTAAAAAATCAATAAAATATATATTTTAAAAAAAAACACATTGGTTTTAATGTTATTCCTCTACTAGCTCAGCAACTTTTCCTTAAAATTACATCTCAAAAAAAAAAATTACATCTCCAAATAGAACTGTTGCTGTTCCCATGGCAATGATGATGACTACTACTCATTATTAATGCTGTTATTATTATGTTTTTATCATTTTAAACTACAACAGTATATGTGACATAAAAACACTTTATATTGTCATGATGCCACCAGCTATTCAGGTAGTTTATAGATGCTTCATAGGTCATCTCTCTTTTAAGTGTATTTAAAAAGTACAATCATTACAGTTTTCTCAATTTAGAGCTCAGAAGGATATTTCCAGAGCTAATTCTTTAAACACATACTTTCGAATAAACTCAGTAATATTCTCTGTGTCAGTGGCCATCCTTCAGGAGTTTAGTGGAGGCTTCATGATGCTTCAAAGACTCATGGATAACTATGAGGCCACAGAGGATGGTCCCCAAGTCCAGGGACACAGACTTTCTTCTAAAGACCAGAGCAGGAGCCAGGGTCCCTTCAGTGCTAATTTCTAACCAGAACAGGAAGATCTGTCAGTTCTATTTGTTTTTGTCATATCATTCTCATTCATGGTGATACTTTTACCCAGAGAGTTCACAAAACTTTGAAAAGTTTTTCTGTACCAGTTAAAGCCTCCTATTTCTCATAAACTTGCTTTGTTGCTTTAGTCAAATCTCTTAAATCCTCTCCAGTTGGTCTTGTTATTTTTAAGTCTTTCTATCCCAATCAGCTTAAAAGAAAACATGTTTTAATCTAGTATGGGCAAAGTCACACAGATGGATTGTGGAAATATAAAATCTGTACAATTAAAAGAATCAATATTTTCATTAGGAGCAGCCTACTGTATTGCTTTGAGGATCATGCACTAAGTTTGTGTGACTTCTCTCTCTGCCTAGCCCTACACCTGGCCTGTGCGGGTCAGCACCTGGCCTGCATCGAGTTTCTTCTACGGTCTGGGCTGAGGGACTCCCCAGACATCACGGGCACCCTGGCTCAACAGCTGACACGAAACACAGACATCCTTCAGTGCTTCGCCCACAGCATGACGGCATGAGGGTGTTTCTAAAAGACAGTAAAACTCATGGTAACTTAAATCCTGCTGCTTAAGTCATTACCAGGTTCAGTGAAATCTGCGGATAGTTGCTGTCCTCTTCCCTCCCTCCCCTGCACTCCACCGCAGCTGAGAGTCCCAGAGGATGTGGACACTGGCTTCCTATATGGAGGGATGGACACACTAAAAATCTCTTCTTACCTGCATTTCATTTTGTGGCCTTAAAATGGATTTAGATGATGTTTGTGAGGTCAGCGTCTGGACTCCTTAGAAAGCATGTAACATGCAGGAATATAATATACATGCTTTTATATATATATATTTGTACATATATATGAAATGTTTTATAGTAAACATATGATAAGGCAGTAATAATATTAAAAATATAGCATATTACTGTTCACTTGAGCCATAAATAATTGTCCTGTTTACTTTCTTTCATGGGCATTTTCTTAGTTGTTACATGGTTTAATTTGGTTTTGTAGCCGGAGAGAATTGCTTATAATCTATTTTATTTACACAGACATTTTCAAGGAATTTATGAAAATGTTTCTATATTCTAAGCACTGCTAGTTAAGCTATGTTATGGTCTTGAGGTTATTTTTTTTTTTATTAGAGAAGTTCTGTATTGACTCTCTTTAGGTAATCAATACACCTAAAAAATGAACCTAGGATAATTTCAAAACTTTTCTATTACCTCAGTTGAGGAGAGGGGTTTGTTGTTAAAGCCTGCAGGTCACATTTCCTGTTGCATGCCATCTGCCATCATGACCTGTGATTGTGAAGGAATGAACACTTGTTGTACCTTTTAAGAAATTTGTAGCAATTTAAACATGTTGAAGATAGGATGAGTGCTCAGGCATTTGGATTCTCTTCCTTTTATTTATTTTTTGTATCATTTTCTCTGAATTGAAGAGGATAGTAATTAGTCTAAGTCAATCTGTTGAAAGATCAAATGCATCCATCACAAGCAAGACCTGATCTCCTTGTTTAGTGTAGTACCATGAAAGCTTGTCACACATCTAGCTATTCTCAGCAGTGTACTGGGCTGGGTGAACAGTCAGAAATTCCAGTTCTTCTTTATTATTCCCAGATGGAACTGACTGAATCCTCTACCCAACAATCAGATAAACATACTTGATTATATAATCTTCTCTTGTGACCTCTATATTACATACTGCATCTGCACTGATTCAAGCTGCAGTTACATTTCCTGTGGCTTCAGAGACGTCTGTGTGTCTGCCCTTTGGGTCTGAAGATGGCCTGTTAATGTGCAGGCGGGATGGGAGATCAGTCTGGTGCTGGCGATCTCATCTCTTCAGCACACATGTGAAGCAGCTTTTTTTTAAAAAAAATTTTTTTTATTTTATTGATTTTTTACAGAGAGGAAGGGAGAGGGATAGAGAGTTAGAAACATCGATAAGCTGCCTCCTGCACACCTCCTACTGGGGATGTGCCCGCAACCCAGGTACATGCCCTTGACCGGAATCGAACCTGGGACCTTTCAGTCCGCAGGCCAACGCTCTATCCACTGAGCCAAACCGGCTAGGGCTGTGAAGCAGCTTTTTATTTGCAGTGACTACATGTGAGACCGGTTCACGTCTGTGGCTTTGCTTCTAATGTACCCCCTTATACTAGCTCACCACCCAGCTGCAATGAGGGAATATCTGGTTACACGTTTGGTCCCAGGAGTTTCAGAGATGGCAGGAATGATGATAATGTCAATTGTGACAAAGATGGTAGTGATGATATAATAACAGTCTTACTGTATTAAAAATGCTAGTAACAATAATAATAATTAGTATTATTCCCTACTTCTAGTTATAGGTACCTTTCTCACTTCTTTGGGTCTTTACTTAAAAGTCATCTCAGCCCTAGCCGGCGTGGCTCAGTGGATAGAGTGTCGGCCTGCGGACTGAAGGATCTCAGGTTCAATTCCGGTCAGGGGCATGTGCCTGGGTTGCGGGCTTCGGTCCCCAGTAGGGGTAGTGCAGGAGGCAGCCGATCAGTGATTCTCTCTCATCATTGATGTTTCTAGCTCTCTCTCTCCCTCTCCCTTCCTCTCTGAAATCAATAAAAATATATTAAAGAAAAAAAAAGTCACCTCAGTGAAGCCCTCCCAGGCCACCCAATCTAAAGTTTTGTTCTCTCCTTCAGCATTTTATATCTCCTTTCCTCGGTTTCTTTTTTTCTCCTTTGCATTTACCACTATCAAGTATACCATACATTTTAAGTTATTTTGTTTCTTGTCTATCTCCTCGCTAGAATGTCAGTTCCTTGGGCAAAGTTTTTGTCTCTTGTTTATTTACTAAATCTACGGGCCCAGAGCAGAGCCTGGTGCATAATAAGGTCTGAAATTATTATATGGTCAACAAGTGAATGGTAACAATTCACATTTCTTGGACACTTACTATATCCTAGATACTGTGGTGAGCACCTTACTTAGATGGTTTCATTTCATCCCTTGATCCTTGCATGATACAGCCGCTCCTAATTATTATTCCACCCCAAGCATCCTTTCTCACACCAACTTCTTTAAAGAAGCTACCCTCGGTTTCATCAGCTCATAGTCACTGCTCAACCTGCTGCAGTCCACCTTCCTAGCTGCTACTCTGTGCAAGTTTTTCTCAGGTTACCGGTGACTTTCCAATGGCCAAATTAAGTAATACAGTTTTAGCCCTCATATTACTGATCCATTCAGTTTATCCATCACTCCCACCTTCTGGAAACTTGTTCTTTCACCTGTGATAGCACTCTCCTGGGATTTTCTTTCTGACTTTTCCTTTATGGTCTCCATCAAGAATGCCTCTTTTAGGGCCTGTCCTGCAAATGCTAGTGTGCCCGCTTCTGTCTCCAGCTCAGTCTTGTCTTTATTCTGCATATGCTTCCAGAGCTAATGCCTCTTTTAGGGCCTGTAAATGCTAGTGTGCCCATTTCTAGCTCTAACTCACTGTTGTCCTTATTCTGCCTATGCTCCCAGAACCATCTCATCCATTCTCCTCATTTCACCTGCACCCAAATATTGATGACACTCCATTCTCTAACCTTTATTTTCCACTGCCTGTTGTATATTTTTTTTTTTTTTTTTTTGCATAGACATTCTAAAGCTATCCCACACTTTATTCAAAGCCTGGGTTTCCACCCTAACCAGTTTGGCTCAGTGGATAGAGCGTCGGCCTGCAGACTAAAGGGTCCCAGGTTCGATTCCGGTCAAGGGCATGTACCTTGGTTGCGGGCACATCCCCAGTAGGAAGTGTGTAAGAGGCAGTTGATGGATGTTTCTCTCTCATCAATGTTTCTAACTTTCTATCCCTCTCTGTAAAAAATCAATAAAATATATTAAAAACAAACAAACCTGGGTTTCCCCTTAACCTGCTTAGATGTGTGCCTGTATTTGCTGCCTAACTTGATGACACTGCAGATCACCCAGTCACCTAAGTGGGAAACCAGGAATCTGACTCTTACTCCAGCAGAAAGCTCTGCTTCGTCTATTCTGCTCCTGCCCTATTAAGACTCCCCGGTTCAAGCCCTCCGACTTGTCCAGATCACTATTACAGTAGCCTCCTAACTGTCTCTCCTGCTGCAGTCTTGTTCTCTTCAAATCCGTCCTCCACACAGCCCTGAGCTCCCACTCACATGACCAAGGGCGTTGACTGCTGCGGGTGGTTCACCCAGTCTCACCAGGATTCGGTGCCTTAACCAAGAGTCACTTCCTCAGAGATTTTGACTGATCCTGAAAGAGCACCTGATCCACTGTGACTGTCTGTTCCTGAGATTGATCAGGCAGAGGTCTTGGGAAGAGATACAAATTGGTAAGAATTATAAACATTTGAAAATAGCTAGGACCTGACACATATTAATTAACAAAAAAAGTATATAATAAAGTATTTTCAAGACAAAAATAGAAAAGGGATTACAGAATGGAAAAGAAATTACGAAACTCAGACCAAAAAAAGGTATGTGAAGGGAGCTCAGGTAGTGAGATAGGGTCAGGCACTAAATTCAATGTAACCATGGCATTGCTAGAATTCACCAGCAGGTGGCAGACCAGAGAAATGTCCTTTTATTCTCCCAGGTGTGTTTTGTTTTGTTTTAAACAAGAAGTTTAAACAATAAGACAGTTGACTTGAAGGGAAAACTATCTAGGATTTACTTTTTTAGAGTAATTTATCCCTACTTAAAGACAGATTGCCCTACATGTAACAGCTATGTACAAAAAAGTTATAAAATTGTCCTTGAAATTAATGAAAAACATTAAAATTCTCCAAACAAGGTATGCAAGAATTTTTATGTAGTTCTTATTTTGTTAAACAGAGCAAAATAACTTACTGGAATATAAAGATAAGAGCTGAATAAGCATTCCACTAATGGAGAAAGGGGATGTTTTCACAGAACCAGCATTTTTTCCCCATCCCATCTCCATTTGATATAGATCAAAACATACCATTGGCCATTTAGTTATAAAAAAATGCAAATGCTTGTGCACATACATCAGTTACTTTATGTACAATAAAGGAATGGGGAAGGGGAAAATGAAATAATAGAGAAAACTATACTGTAGTAGTCAGATGTGTTGAACCCAATTGCAGTTTTCTAACTGAGAATGTCTTTTTGGTCTTTAGATTTCTTAAAATTGCTTTCCTGAGCCAGCAAGGGGGTCAAGAGACCATTAGAGTGATGTGATTTTTATTAAGAAAAAACAAGGTATAAGTGAGGGCTGGCCTCTGACCTTAGCTGAACAGGAAGGATTTGCCTGTTGGGCGTGACAAAGGTCTATCATAAAGCTTTTACAACATTCCTGACAAGGAAATTCACTTTATAATGTGGAGAGGCCTAGGCATTGCTGAAAAAAACACTGGGGAATAATTATATTATTGGCCACCCAGGTTCTGCCACTGCACCTTATCTGGCCTGTATCAGCTAATCTATTGTTGCTTCTTCCTAGGCTTGCAAAGAATGCATACTCAAGGCCTAGAGGCATACCCAGGGCACTTGAAATAAGAGAAACAAAGGTTGCAGTGCTAATTGTCCCTTGTGCAGAGTTTTACTGCCCCAGAGACCTTCAGGGAGTGGAGGAGAAGTCCCAGAGCTTGGCTATCAGTGTAGACCAAGCATGTCAAACTCAAAGGCTAACACGCCAAATGAATAAGGTTTAAGTTTATGTGGGCTGCAAAAAAAACAAAAGCTTCAATTTTCATAGAAACGTTGGTTTATTTCAATAGAGACGCTGAATACAAAGGGCTGAAATAAATGAGTCATCGTTAACATAAAACAATAGAACATTTTAATAAAAATTAATATTTTTCTTGAACATTAATTTACCAGACACTGAATAACTGCACAAATTAATAAGAGTAACGCAAATAAACCTATTTTTCTTGTTCTCCGAAAGCAAAATATTTCCTGTTGCACACAC